AAATCATTCTCGACATATCTGCTCATAAATTTTCAACAGAATTAAGATCTGGACTTAATAGTGGCCAGTTTATGCAATCGATATTATTTTAAATCATATATTGGTTGCACGAGCTCGATGACAAGGTGCATTATCTTGTTGAAAAATATCATTTAAATCGCTATCTACATCATTAATATTATTATTATTACTTTCAAGAAATGTTAATAGAGATGTTTTAAGCATTTTACAATAAGCAGTGCTGTTCATTTTATTATTAACAATTTGTAAAATTAATTGTTTTCTTAAACAAAAATAGATCCAAACAATAATGCCTCCTTCTCCTTGTATACGTTTAATATATTAAACTTCGTCTTAATTTACATGATGCCAATAATATTTGAAGCCATCTAGACAGTCTAAACTATTTTTTTTACTAGAAATATAACTTTATGCCATTGACGAGTCCATAAAATTTTATCTAAAGCAAAATCATCCCCTTTTAAATTTATACACTCCCTTTAAATCTGGACTCTGCCACATTATTTATATATAATGCTGAGAGGGGGTTTACTCATTGTCCGCTTAGTCTTTTTTACAGAACGGGTGTCTTTTTAGATGACATCCTCTTTATTAAAAACTTGCTTTTATATTTTTTTTCGAAACACGTGTTTCGAATCTAAAACGAAAACATCCGATCTCAGAATTCCATTTGTTCGTGGAAATTATTTAAAAAAGGATGTCTAGTATCCAACATACAAGATTATTGTTTTTTTTAATTGCTCTTAAAACAGTAGATTTTGATACTGGTAAATCTAATTCAGCTTTAATTTTAAAAATAGTTATGGCTTTATTAGAACCCATACTTTGAATTTTTTTATAGGGCTCTAAAAGAAGGAGCTCTTTTCCTTCCTTTTTTGTTAGTAATTTTATTTACATTCTTTGAAGTCGGGTAATTTCTAATTACGGTCGTACTTCTGTCCAACATAGCACCAATTTGCTTAATATTTTTTCTTATTAAAAAATAAGCATCAATCTGTCCTTTTTCATACTCACCTAAAGATTTTCCTTTGATCATTAAGATAAATATTTTTTTTAAAAAAACCTTAAAACTATCGTGTCCCCGAGAAAAGTTTAAGAAGTTTGACGCTACTCCATCTTTCCTCCCCCCTCCAAATAACTACGTATAGAATTTTTTAAAGTGAACGTAGTTATTTGGTGGGGGAGGGGGAAGGAAAGATGGAGTAAAGGTAAAAAAAAAGAATTATTTTTTAACCCTTATTATGGAAAATCTAAAAGAGAAAATTTTGAGCTTTAAATTTAGTGATTTTGTATTTATAGATAACACCAAGACAATAGAATTTTTTACAAATACAATTTAATTAAAATGAAGTAATTTGTTTGAGGTGTGATAACAGAATGAGGATTATGGTGGCTGCCACGTATATAGACGGGTATTCTTACAGATGCTCTTCTAAGGCATGCAGATCAAGGGAAAGCCTAAAGAAGGGGACTGAAATGGCCTCCCTGAATATAGAATTTGTAAAAATTTTTAGGGGAATGTATTGCTGGGTATATGATTATACCCTAGCACAGGCCATTGATTTTTGCGATTGTTCGGAGACTACCTATATTAAAATCAATGATTTGATTTTGCAAGTAATTTCCGAACAAGAACCAGAAATGGTTAAAATGGGTGGAGAAGGTATTGGGGTGCAGTTTGACGAAACTGCTATCTGTAATGGGGAGTTAATATCTAACCCATCTAGTACCCCAGACAACAAACCTAATGTACAATGGTTAATGGGAGATATAGAAGGAACAAACTGTAGGAATTTTGTTCTAAAGCTTTTTACTAACAGAAAAATTCCGACTATACTAGACATGTTCGATGAACATGTTGTACCCGGATCTATCATTGTTACCGATGGTTACCCATCTTACCCTGGGGCTGTTAGTGAATTTGGATCTTGCCATGAAGTGGTAAACCACTGTTGGGTTTGTTAATGCTCAAGGAGCACATACTAACCAAATTGAAAACCCGTGGCCTCATCTTAAGCATGCTTATCGAAAACGTGGCGGTATTAATAAAGGCCGAACAAGTTTATTTATAAATGGATGGCAATGAAGAAAAAAAATATCCAAAATAGCGATAACAAGACGCTTAGGACTGCATTGTATAGACAATTAAAAATTTTTAGATTTTAATTTTTTTAAAAAAACAAGGGGGTGGAAATATGAAGCAGCGCCCAAATGATTATGGGGTCTCCTTAATAAAACTCCATAATTTTTTTACATAAGGGGTTGCTCTAAAACGAAAAAAATAATTATTAAATCAAGTTTGTTGTTTGTCGCAAGCTCAGCTCACACCCGAGCAACGGCCGCACATTGTATTTTTTGTTACAAACTCTGAACTTTGGCGTTTTTTTTACATTATATTATAGACGGTGTTTTTATCCCAAAACCTATACTTAAATACTCTTATACGGGAATCGAACCCACAGATGCTTTTACATGTAAAAAGATAAACCCAACTGCAACACTTGCCATGTATATTTTATTAAAATCCAAATAAATAATTTTAGGATCTGGTCTAATATCTGCCCTAAAAGGGCAGATATTAGACCAGATTTATTTTTTATATTTTTTACCCCTTAAATGAGAAGACAAGAAACAAGATTTGAACGGTTGATGAGAATTCGTCAAATGAATACTGAAAATGTCATTAATATTCTACGATCTAAAAATTTATTGCTTTCTTATTTAGAATGTGAAGCATG